TCCGGAGGGTGGCTGGTACCAGTCGTGAGCAGGGCAGCCGGAGAGGTCAGCCAGGCTGACAGAGCTCCACGTGCTGTCACTCCGCCAAGAAGTTTGGATAATTATCTCTGTCTGCATTAGAGAAGTGGCAATTAAGAGGAGGTCTTGTTACCTAGAATCTTTCCTTTTGTAATATATGATTCTGGTACAATCACTATATATATTACTTAATAATAGTACAGTTCATGTGTGTCCATGGGGGCACTGGAAGGGAGTTCTTTGGTGGCATAATTAAAACAAAATAATTTCAGCATTTAGGAATAGCTGTTGGACAATTAAGAAGCACAAACTTAATCCCTGCGTGCACTCCCACCTCCCTTACGTGCCCCAAATCTTGCATGTTTTTAGTAAGGTTTTAGAGTGCATTAGAGTCACAAAACTGGATGTTGGGAGAAGAGAATGAGGTATTTGGCTAAGACGAGGGATTTGGAATTCACTGCTTTCTAAATTTCACTGCTTCTGGCATGACTTGAAGGAAAATGCCTCACCTCTCCTGTGCCTCACCTCTCCTGTGCCTCACCTTCCAGCCTCCCCAGGGCGATACGAGAGCAGTGACACCCATCTTCTCTCTTCTCTGTTCTTTTACATCTCTGCTAAAGCTCCAAGCCTGGTTATTTGTAGTTAATGGAATCCTGACAAAAAGAATAAAAAACCCTTTCACAAATGTAAATTTAATACAGAGATTATGTTATCCACTATTAGGTTGTGCACTGATTTGCTGTTCTGCCTGAGCCCTGCATGAATGGTGTTTTTGTGGACACTGTCTTAACAGGAAGTGGCAGAGGAAGGTTTCCCAAAGCACAGCCTGGGGATAAATTCATTTCTTCTCCGGGAAGGCAGCTGCAGCTGTGCTTCCCCTGTAGAGTCGGGGCAGCAGTAAATAAAGTTTTTTGTTACTGAACTCACCACTGATTTTTACTCTTTGTAAAAACTCGGGAGTGCACCCACTGGTTTCACTGCACTGTTGCTGTCAGTCCCTGCTCCACTGCTTTGTCCCTCCAGGGTCCTTTCCACCTGTACTGCCCAAAAAAACCTCACAAAAGTGGTCAGTGTCCCACTATCGTTCTACAGATGAGAAAGCAGAGGGACAGCAAGATTGATTCCTTGTTGCAGAGCAGAGCCAGCTCCACAGTCCAGCTGCCCTGGTTCCTGCTCCTGTGCTCACTCCACACCGTTAGTTTTTTGCAGTCATGCTGTTATTAAATGTATTTAAATGATTTCTACTCAGCAGCGTGGCCCAAGGAGTCCCTGGGCCCAGGAGGCCCAGCTTGGCAGACCAGGCTATGATTTCTACATCTGAAAAGCAGCAGTGATGTGGGAGGTAGGGAGGCATAAATCTCCTTCTGAAGGTTTTAAAATGCCTGCGTGTGATACCAAAATGAAGCAGGTTTGCTGCTCTGCTTCTGGAAATACCCATCAGCTGCTGCAGCGTTCAGCAGAGTCTTCAAGAAAGAGAAAAAAGGGTTAATGGAGAGGGAGTGGAGGCAGCACAGCTCAGCACAAGCTTCCCCCTGGCCCGAAGGAATGTCTCCTGGGATGGAAAGCTCTCGCTGCCACAGAGATTTCTTAGAACAGAAACTGAGCTTCTTGTCTCTCAGACTTCTACCTGCACAGAGCAGGGCTGTAACCTGGAGTTCTGCTGGGGGCTCGTTTTCCCTGGGCTGCATTTTGCATGCTGCAGGGGGTTCACACTCTGCAGGGTGAAACCTTTCCTGCCTCAGAAACAGGACACTGCTTCCTGGTCATCCCCCGGGCCCTGGCTCCGCAGCTCCTCCAGCAGCTTCTGGCAGCCCTGTCCCAAACAGTTCCTTGTGTTCCTGGGGTGGCGGCGTGGAATGAATCAGTGATTTATTTACTGTGAGGTGCCTGAGAATTCAGGCTGAAAGAACAGCGTAGCAGTCAGGCTCTTTGTTTCCTTTCCTTTTCTAGCATTATGTGCTTTCTCCTCCTTTCACCTACCAGAATTTGATGTTTGTCTTTACATTCCTCTCTGGCAAGCCCACATTTGCCCCCTTCACTGTCAGTGTGATCTTCACCTTCCCAGAAACCATGAGCTATCTAATAAACCTGCTGTGGTGTTGTGCATGCTACTGCACAGCTACAGACTTTAATGGCTTTAACATATTCCCTGAGGTCTGTATTTTACCAATTTGGTTGGATCCTCTTACTGGGCAGGACACAAGGAACTGGAGCTGGAGGGGCTGGATTAGAAATGCTAATGACACTTCCTGTGTCTAAATATCTGCCTTTAAATACTGCACAAATGCAGGATTCCTGTTCTCTCATTTATCACTCCCTTTCTGTATCTGTGTGAATGTCTAACCAAATACCATTAGAGCTGACCTACTGACTGTTATCAACCCCTTCTCTCCTTCTATTCTGTCACAGGTAAAAGATTTTAGGAATTTCCTTGGGAATATCCTCTTTCTTCCTAACTTGGAGTCTTACACTTATTTTTTACTTCTATTGCCTTTGTCAAGTCTATCTAGGACCCCAGCTCCTAGATCCTTCCTCTCTAAGATCAGACAGAATATCAGTTTGAGTACATCAGGAAGATGCATCTGGTACATCCATTGAAAAAAATCATTGTTCCAAAAGAAGCCTGCTCAAGCCAAGAAAATGTGCTTTCAGTTTTTCCTGGTATTTTCTGATTTTAAAATCGGATGACAGGATCTGCATTTAAGGACTGTTGCCAGAGCCTATACAAACACCTACTTAAGCACAGATTTTAAGGTGAAGTATAGCACTTAATCCTGACAATGAAGAAACCAGAGCTCCCACATAAAAATCATATTCCAGTGGTACTACAGAGAAACATCCAAAAGAGGACTTGAGGATTCAGCTTTCTCATTTTTAAGGGGCTGGAAATGAAAAGAATGTGGTGAGGAGAATGTAAATGAAAGTTAAGGCAGAATTAAATTCATGTTGTGTGTGTATGGAAGAAATCTGGAAGGGGCCTCAGGAATGCAGGGAGCATTAACATTCAGCCTAATTTTGGTCTTCCTTACACCCAGTCAATGAGGAGTGACAGAAAAGCAGCTCTGTGGGGAACAGGAAGCCAGTTGCACTAAATGGATGACTTCCAAATGGGCATTTTGTACTAGTTTTTTTAATCTTGAAATTTAATTTCCTTCATACTCTGTGAGAGAAGTATTGTAGCTGCTCTACTGTACCTTTCAGTAGCAGGGCAGAAAAATTAAGACCTTATATTTTCTTTCTCTAGCTCGTAATTCAGGCAATGAAATTGTAGCTTTAGATAATCTCTCATTTCATAGCCAGGACCATGTTCTAATCTGTGCTGCAAAAGAACATTCTGCAATTAGTGTAGCTTTCCTCAATCAGCCACTGAAATTTGAGGTCCCCTTGGCCATGCTGTGTGCCCCAAGGTCCTTAGTTCCCCCAGTGAAACATCTGCTACGTCTTCACTTTCTTTTTTTTTCATAAAAATGAACCTTTGATCAGTTAGTGCCAAGAACATGGAGGCAGCAGATGAGTAGGATTTGAAGCTGGTTTTCCTCCTGAGGGTGAAGCTTTGTGGGCACTGAGAACCCCTCTGGTGCTGAACGTTGTGCACTGTGGAGGTATCTGGGTGAGGTGTTCCCTTCTCAGGAGGACGTGGTAGCCCCACAGCTCGACTGCCTCCCTTGCCTGGTTTGAAATGAACCTGGCTGTCTCTCTGTGTCCTCTAGAACAGACCTAACCTGTGTCTGTACAGGTGTAACCTGTGCCCATGAGCAGCAGTGACTGTTTGCACAGAGGTTGGGACTCCTGGGTGCTGTTCCTGGATTCATGCTCAACTTAAAGAACATACTGGGAAAGTCACTTTGCTTCTCAGTGGTTGGATTTTGACTTTCTTTGCCAAATCTGTCAAGTACCTTTAAGACTGCTGATCCCTGCCTTTGCTGAGTATCAGAGTGAGGCCTCTTCATTAGGTGTGGAGCAGCTGGCTGTGAAAACAAGGCAAGCTGAACGTGTCTCTTGTGCTTTCTCTTGTGTGCAGAAAACTTGCTGGTCCTCACTGTTGCCACCAAGCAGACTGAGGGATTCCAGCGCTTCAGAAGATCAGCCCAGTTCTTCAACTACAAACTCCAGGTGAGGGCTTAGCAGCCTCAGTGTTTGGCTGAAGGGAATTCTGAAATGTAGAATGGAAAAGAGTTGACTTGACTACTACGTGATTAAATAAAAGCTTGAGAGGACACACCGACTCAGAGAAATCCTGAAACTGGGGCATTTCTGTCTCCTTCCATCCTGGGTGTTTGCTTGAGATGAGTTCCATAACTCCTGCTCAGGAGAGCCCTGTGTTGCTTTTCCTTTGCAATGCCAATGCACAGTGCAGCACGTGCTCCTGTCCCTGCTGCTGAGAGAGCCTCATTGCTGTGCTGGGAGTTGCTCCCACTGCCCATCCCAGGGCACGGCTGCCCAAAGGCCGGCGTCTGGACCTCCTCTCTCTGTCCTGATGCTGGGATTTGCACTGGGAGTTATCTGGACAAGTGAGGTTGGGGGTTCTGGTCCTTTCCTTGAGTCTTCCTGGGAGGGTGACCTGTTCAGCAGACCGTATGCCTGTCATTCTGTAGGTGCTGGGGCTGGATGAGGAGTGGCAGGGTGGAGATGACCAGAAGCCAGCAGGAGGGGGGCAGAAGGTCCGTCTCTTGAAATCAGCTTTGGAGCAGTATGCAGATAAGGAAGATCTGATCATCCTTTTCGTGGAAAGGTAACAGCTGGGAAGCAATTGCCATGAACGGAGTCAGGAGGCTGTTTGGGCAGGTTCTTACTGAGAAGAAGTTAACTGTGCAGTAGATTCCTTTTGGAAGGTGTGTCCAGACCTCCTCCATTTTTCCCCCCCTGAATTCTCTGCAGTTACCCGAGAATTGCTCAGAGCTGCACCCGTGGCAGCTGGAAAGGTCTGATCAGAACAGGCTGATCCCAGCTCTTGCATAAAGTTGATAGTGTTTTACCTGCTTCTGCCAGAGGAGAAATTGGCTGCCTCTGCAGAGAATGAGCAGCAATTTCTGCAGACCTAGGCAGGACTTTCTTACCAGAATTATTTGTTTTATAAGGTGAGGTAGACAGCAACACAATCCTGAGAGCCAGGAAATAATCTGCCAGAGAAATGTGGAGAGGGAAAAGGAGAGTTTGGAGTCTCAGTGTTTCTTCATGTGCCCAGTCACTGGCAGGGCTGGGATCCCTGTGTCTGTCTCCAGCTCCCATGGCAGGGAGATTATTTTATGCAGCTCTGAGTGTCCACGTGTGTTTAGAGCAGTTGGAAATGATTAATCTCTGGAATGAGCAACATCTTCACTCCGTGGGTTTGAAGTATGCATGTCCTCTTGCAGCAAAGGCAAGTTTCATTCTGGGAGTGCCCCCTGGGAATTAGTTCTACCCAGTCCTGAGGAGACAGTGGCTGGAGTCCAGCATGCAGTGACTGGTGTCCAGTGTAGGTTCCTTGTGAAGATTTGCAGGGAGATCAACAGAGAGTGGCAGGGTGCCAGAAGATGTGAAAGGCATGACCTGTGTGTTTGTTTAGTCTCGAAAGGAGCAGCAGAGCAATTCTTCCTCCATTTGTTTTTGTCATCAGTGAAACTTTTGTAAGAAATAAGAATGGGTTATGCCCCAAGCCAGTGTGGAGTCTCTGCAGTGGAAAGTACCATCTTCCACTCTATGAATGAGATTGCACTAGCTCTCATTATGACCACAAATGTAATCTGTACAGAACTAAAAGAAAAGGATTCCAAAAGAATCAGCTATTTACTTTCTAGATTTCTAATCTATGATTCTGTGGCTTCTAGAAACTTACCAGACTGACATATTTTCCTGACTCCATTTCTTTCTGCCCCTTTCTTGTCTATCTTTTACTCTAGCTATGATGTGCTCTTTGCTTCGGGCCCCGCAGAGCTGCTGAAGAAGTTCAGACAGGCCAAGAGCAGGGTGGTCTTCTCAGCAGAGAACTACATCTACCCCGACAGGAGGCTGGAGGCCAGGTACCCTCAGGTGCGGGATGGAAAGCGCTTCCTGGGCTCTGGAGGTAAGATGCAGAACTTCTGTCAGCTGAGAACCCCTCTCAGCCTTTTCCCCCTCTTAGAAGGCCTGCCTGTGGGAGAAGTGGCAAGGGAGCAGGCGTGGGCAGCTTGCTCTAGCAGGTGGTGCAAACTGAAGCCCTGTGCCTGGCTGGCCAGTGTGGAAGGACTGACAGTGCTCCTGTCTCTTACTGCTGGGAGGGGACACAGCTGGGAATTGCCTGTAGAGGATAGGAACCTGCTCCCTGTCCCTTCTCCCTTTCCAGTGAGACATGTCCTTCAGGGTGTGGGTATCTGAGCTTTCTGATGCTGAGGATTACAGGTTTGGCCCTGGTGTTGCTCTCTGTTGGGAAGCGTGGCTGATCCAAGCCTTTGTTGAAAGCTGGTCTGTCTCTGCAGCAGCACAGGGTGGAGTGAGACTTTGTGTGAAAGAAGTGAGAGCACGTGTGTGCAGGAGTGCTTCCCTTTCCTCCTTGTCTGGACTGAATCATCTCCTCATACTTATTCCCACAGGCTTCATAGGTTATGCTCCAAACCTGAAGAAGCTTGTGGAGGGGTGGAAGGGACAGGACGATGACAGTGACCAGCTCTTCTACACAAATGTCTTCTTGGATCCAGAAAAAAGAGTAGGTGTAGCTAGATTTTGGCCTTAGGGGGAGTTATCTGAGAAGCATTGCTGTTAATCCTCTGTGCAGTGTCCTTGTTGACAGTAAAGTTAGTTAATCACATACATATTGACTCTTAATTACTGCTCTGGCAGTAATTAAGGAGAAGGCCAGTAGTATGCCCAGTTACCCATTTCCTTCCTGAAAATTTGCATTCTAGCCAGTACCCCCTTGTTCTGTTACTAGCAATTTTTATCTTTTAAGTTGAAAATGGGAATGGGAAGATAGATGCCTTAAAACAACTCTTACAGGACACTCTGCTGGTATCTGCATGTGCTGATGTTTAGTGCTGTAGAGTGTGGCAGAACTAACCAGGGGATGTGAAACCCAGAGTTGCAGTGTAACTTCCCTGCAGAGTGCAGTGCTGACTTACTGCTGGGTTGGGTATCTCTAAAGTGCAGTTTTGGGTGAAGGGGCAGATGAGGCCTGAGCAGATTCAAGGTGATGAAAGGGACAAAGGTTCACAAGCCTTTTAGCCACTGTTGTGCAGCAGGACAGGGACTTTAGGCATCACAGTGGGCAGCTCTGCTGCAGCAAAGGGGCTGCCACTGCCTTCAGAAGTCTCCAGGTTGTGGCCATCAGGGTCTGCAAAAGCCTCCAGGTCGTGGCCATCAGGGTCTGCATCAGGCTCTGCAGCAAGCCGTGTAACTGGTGCAGAAGCCTGGAACAGCCCCTGAAGCTCTGCTGCCCCTCAGCACTGGGTGGTGCTCTGGCTGAGTCACCCAGCCCACGGGTGGCTCTGCCTCCTGTCCCTGCCCAGTTCTGTCCCCGAGGGACACCACAGCGCGTGGGAACAGTAGTGGAACAGTGAGGTCAAGAGGAAGCATTAGAAATGGGCCACATGCTTTCAGAGAGGTTGGAGAAGGAGCTGCACTTCTTTACCAGCAGGGCTGGTGAAAAATTTGGAACAGCTGCACTTTCTTCCCCAAATCTGAGCACAGCCCATGGTATTTGAGCGTGAGCAGTTCCTTTAATGTCTGCACTTCTGGCCGGGTGCCACACAAAGGCTGAGTAATCCCACTGCCGTGGCATTTGGCCAGCGGGTGTTGGCACCCTGCTGTCCTTCCCAGTAACCAGCCTCCCTGGCTGCCTAGAGGGACACTGAGCTCTCCTGACTCACAGCTAGAGTTCAGTCTGGACAAGAATCCAGTCAGTGTGACTGGCAGCAGGGGGTGGAAGCAAAGCCTGCAGAAGCTGGCCTGGCACCCTGTGCTGGTTTGACCCCTGTACTTGGGGCAGTGCTCGGGGTGACGCTGCCCTGCGGATGGATGGCAAGAAACTGGCTTCAGAGCAGATGGCTTTGCTGTCTTGGCAGTTCTGCATGTTATCTGGGGGTGTGATATGACCATGCTGCAAGTGAACTCCATTAATATGCTGCATGTTATTGCCACCCGCACAGCGGCTTTAAAAAGGTTATCTGCAGGGGATTGCTTAGTATAACATGTTTAAAATGTTTTAGAAAATGGCAAATTGTCCCAGATTCAAGTGGAAGTGGGGATTACCTGAGTGTCCTAGGCTTCAGAGCTTGGAGAGCATGGAAAGGATGGTGGGAATGTGATAGGTCTCTGCTTGGCACAGGTCTCTCAGGTGTAAAGGATGGGTGCCCACGTGTGTTCTAATTTAGGTTGTTTATCTAATTCTTTTAAAGGAAAGTATCAACATCAGTCTGGACCAAAGAAGCCGGATCTTCCAAAACCTAAACGGAGCATTAGGTGAGATGGAAGAAGGAAGCACAATTCCCCCTTGAACACATCTGCATGTTGACACCAGCAATAAAGTTCTGTCTGAAGGGATTAAATTTCAGAAATTCCTGTCCCTGCAGTGTAAGCTCCAGTAAAAAGCCTCAGCCAAAGTCCTGAGATGCATTTGCAATTCCACTGGGACCAGCTGGGTTCCCATTGCAATTCCCTCTTCACCTGGGGGAATGCAGGTCAGGTTTTCCATCTTACACCTCCTGCTTTGATCTCCAAACCCATCCCTTTGCATTAGCCTTGGGGATTGAAACTGGGAGGGACTTCCAGTGCAAGTAATAACACACAGCCTTGCCTAGGGCTTGCCTGTCTTTCTGCTTCAGAACTGTGTCTGGAATGCCACAGAAGGTGAGGAGCAGCCAGATGCTGCCTGGGAGCACTCTCTGACCATAGCAGGCATCTGACCTGACCTGCTGATTGATGGATTTTGCTAATCATGCCAGAAGTGATTTATTTACTCTCCTGACGCTGCTGCATAATGGTTTTAGTTTATAGCTTGCACCACTCCATCTTTATTCCAGTTAGCTAAAAAATGACAGCAGCAGTGTAGTTTTTGGCTCCTAACAATGATGGACTGGAGGGGGCTTTGTGTGGCTGTGTGGAGGAGACAGCCTGGATGACCTCTGTCAGGAGGTGGCCTTTTGTCAGGGGTGGCAAAGAGACAGCGGGTGCATCAGGTGCTTAGGTGAGAGGGGCCTGAGCCCTCCCTGGCCATCAGTAGCTGCCCCTCACTGCAGTCTGTCAATGGCAGGCCTGAGGGACTGTGTTAGTGTGGCTTCTGCCAGTGCCCAGTGGGAGGTCTATCTGTCAGCCCAGCAAGCTGCCTTCTTTGTCCAATTCCTTCTTCCTGGTGCTTCACAGGGTCATACTGAGCACTTTTTTTCTCCTTTCCAGATATGATCTCTAGCCCTTAAGCTACCTGTGCATGGTTATCCACATCCATGCTTTCATTTTTGAGCAGTTGTTCAGTATAAATGAGGCATTGTGCTGCTAATTACCAATAAATCATAACCTGATGGCACTGTCATTTCCAGATGAGGTGGTTCTCAAGTTTGAAAACTCACGAGTGAGAGCAAGAAATTTGTTATATGACACTCTGCCTGTGGTGATTCATGGAAATGGACCCACCAAGGTAAGGAGGTGTCCTGAGTGAAAGCTTTGGGATGTCTGTGTTGCAAGGTGACCCTTCAGGCTCGAGGGTATTGGCTTGCTGTCTTCCCATGTATTGGCTTTACCTGTGCACATTTATATTTGAGTAACAGCACGTGGTCCAGGTCTGTAGCAGCAAGATGGGTCTGGTTCAGAGGTCACTGTGTAATTGGACCCTCGGGCTGTCTTGCTTTTTGGATTCTTGGGTGGTAAATGGGGTTCTGATGAACCGTGATCTTACACTGCGAGGGGATGCAAAGAAACTCCCCTGCCCTGTAATGCATAACATGGCAAATTGCCCTTTGCAGCTGCAGCTGAACTACCTGGGAAACTACATTCCTCAAATATGGACGTTTGAGACTGGCTGCACTGTGTGTGATGAAGGCCTGCGAAGCCTCACGGGGTTCAAGGTAAGGCTGATGTCTGTTCAAAGCTCTCAGACAAGTCTCACAATTACAACGGGATCTTACGTGTCTGCTGTGGGCTGATGTCTGTTCAAAGCTCTCAGACAATTACAACAGGATCTTACATGTCTGATGTGGTACATGAGCCACCACTTCTCTCCTCTTCCCACTGAATGCAGGATGAGGCACTGCCAATGGTGCTGGTTGGCATCTTCATCGAGCAGCCCACCCCATTCCTCTCCCAGTTTTTCATGCGGCTCCGTAACCTTCATTACCCAAAGCAACGAATCCAGCTCTTCATTCACAACCATGTAAGTGAAGTTGGCCTGTGACAGTCTTGGCAAATGGGGGGAAATGTGTTCTCCTCCTGCACTCTAGGCACCTTTGTGACCTCTGACTCCAGGCTCTGTAATCCCAGTACTTGCCTACAGTGGCTCCATCCACCTGTAAAGATGTGGAAGTGGGAAATGCTGTTGCTCTTCTGGTTTGGCATTTTCAAGAACAGGAGCCTGAGCAGCCTGGGATGAGCCCATTTATCTGTTTTTCCTTTTTTCCCTTTGGCACAGGAGCAACATCACGTGATGCAGGTGGACTCTTTTGTTAAGGAGCACAGCAAAGAGTATCTTGGCATCAAGGTGGTGGGACCAGATGACGAGGTGGAGAACGCTGAGGCGCGTAACCTGGGCATGTGAGTGACAGGCCCTGTGTGCCTGGCAGTCAGCCCCCGTCCGTGCTCAGGGGGTCCTTTCTTTTGAGGATCATCACTGTCAAATGGATGCTTATATCTTTTCAGTCCCCATTTTCTTTACCTTTTCCTAGCATTAACTCCCCATGCCCATTATATATTGGGGGAGAAAAATAATCTTTGATACCAGCTCCCCTTCTTCAGTTTCACACACAAAGTTCTGCCTGGTCCTTTGCTCTGTTTGAAGGACAGCCCAGTAGCTCCCACCCTCCTCAAGCAGGCTGTGTGCCCAGTCACACCACACAAACCATGTGCTCCTGTACCTCTGAAGAGGGAGAGTGTAGTAGGAGAACTGAGAGTTAATGGCAGAGTGTCTCCCTGGCTGTGATCAGGAGGTAGGGGTTAAGCTCAGGTCTGGGTTTGTGCTGACTGTAAATGGGAACCTCTTCAGACTGGTCTGAAGGAACAGTTTGCTAAATGTGGTTTGTCTCAGTGTCTGCTGTTGGCTCCTGAAGCTTGTGCTGTGCTAGCCCTCTGGGTTGTTACTTTAGACTGAACTTTTCTGAGCACCCAGAAGACCTTTACAAAGTGAAGGAATTCCTGGTGGTCTGTCTCTTGTCTTGATTTGTTTTAGGAAGATTTTGGTGTGACTTTTCTTGTTCTCTGGCTATAGGGATTTGTGCAGGAAGGATCCTGACTGTGACTATTACTTCAGCCTGGATGCTGAGGTAGTTCTGAAGAACACAGAGACTCTGAGGATCCTGATCGAACAGAACAAGTGAGTCTTTGGTCTGAGCAATCCTCACTGGTCATCTTTCACTCAAGGAATACAGTGAGCTCTCCTGTCACTGAGATGTGTAAGGGACGAGGAGGACTGTGTCAGTGATGAAATGTCAGACAAACAGCTCTTATTTGATTTTCCTTTACAGTAGTTTTAATCTTAGTGTCTAAATCCACTAGACTTTAGACAGTGAGATGTGTAAGGGACGAGGAGGACTGTGTCAGTGATGAAATGTCAGACAAACAGCTCTTATTTGGTTTTCCTTTACGGTAGTTTTAATCCCTAGATTTTAGACAGTGGATGTAAATCATTCCTAGTTTTGTCTTTATATGGTTGCTAGAAGAAACTGGGTTCTGAGGGACCTGATGCAGGGTGCAGTTAGAGGATTGTGATCATATTTGTGCTTTCTTATGTAGAATTTTATTCCAGCAGAGTAAACAGAAGCAGCAACTCTGAGTGAGGGAGACTCAAATCCTTACGGTCCTGTGGTTTGTAATTTTTTTCCTTTGTGTGGTTACATCCTGTCCTGCAAGTCCCTTTTCTTTTGTGCTCACAGGCTGGTGATTGCTCCACTGGTGAGCCGTCATGAGAAGCTGTGGTCGAATTTCTGGGGGGCTCTGAGCCCTGATGGATACTACGCCCGCTCAGAAGATTATGTGGACATTGTCCAGAGGCGCAGGGTGTGAGTGTGCAGAGGGAGCTTCTCCCTGACATGTCCCCAAATGCAGAGCTTGCTGCAGCACATCGTCATCAAACTAGCTAGTGTCAGAGAACCAGAGAGCACAACTATCTCTGTGTACAGAAAAGAAGTCTCTACTCCCATTTGGAAGCTGCTCTCCTGAGCAGGGACGTTGACATACTGTGGGCAGGTTTTCTTGTGATCAGAGTGAGGGTTTGAGGGCCCTGACTCTGCTGAAAGCATTTCATCTTACTCACGTCACCGTGGATAATAGCTGGTGTGATCCTTAAAATCCTGCAAAGGGCTATTCACTCATATTCTTGAGGAACCCTGGTTTGGGGTTTGATTTGTTTTTAGGCCATTATATGTGCAATAGATGCTGGAAATCAGCTTATGCACTTTTGGCTGGTTCACTTTTTTTAAATAGCTGGAAAAAAGAAAAGTGTTGATCTCTCTGGGAAGAGATTCAAGCCGTTAATTATGTCCCTAGCAAAGCCCCACGGTAGCAATGAATTGCTTTCACAGTGGACTAACATTAGTGCAGCTTAAAAGCTCTGGGCCGTAGCAGTGATTTTCCTGGAATGACAATCCCTGTGGCTATGGTTTCTCCCTGCTGTTCTGGGTTGGCTCGTTTGGGCCAGCCTGGCTGCTGCCTCAGTGCTGGCTGACACCCTGCCCAGCCCAGCAGTGTCTGCCGTAGCAGTGTGTCACCTCTCACCTTCCACCCCTGTGTTTGCAGCGGGCTGTGGAACGTCCCCTACATCAGCAGCGTTTACATGCTGAAGGGCAGGGCTCTGCGCTCGGAGCTGCAGCAGGGAGATCTCTTCCTCAGTGGCAGGCTGGATGCTGACATGGCTTTCTGCCACAACGTCCGCAGCCAGGTCAGTGGAGGGGGGAGGCTGGCAGGGCAGAGCTGTGTGCCAGGGCAGAGGTGACAGCATTAAGCACTTCCAAGGCCTCCAGCTCTGCCGGGGTGCGGAAGGGGAGGAACTGGTGTTGGTCAGTGCTCTGCAGGTCTGGGACAGTGTGGGGTTGCTGCCTGGCTGTGAAGCCACACGGAGCCAGGGACCACTGACTGTGCCTAACACTTTTGTTCTTGGGCCCGTGTGGGGCTGTTTGAAATGGGGTTGACGGGGTATGAAGGAAGAACCTGATCTCACAGCAGCTGCTCTGCTCTGCTTCCAGTCCTGGCTGACAGCAGGCACAGAATCACTGGCTCTGGCTACAGCCTTTCAAAATTCCTCATATCCAGGGTGGAAATTAAACCAAAGGCCCCCAGGAGAAAGAAAGAGTAAATTAGCAGCTTGAGCAGAGCCATCATCACCGGGGGACTGTTCAGTGCTTGTATTTCAGAGTGGCTCTCAGACATGTGAGGCCTGGAAACAAAGCTTGATTGTTTCCCTCTGTCCTGCAGGGAGTCTTTATGTACCTGACAAATCGGCATCAGTTCGGACACATTCTGTCCCTGGAGAACTACCAGACCACTCACCTCCACAACGACCTCTGGCAGATATTCAGCAATCCTGAGGTGAGATAAGCTGCATGCTCAGTGGGCTTAGCAGGGTGGCCTGTGGAGAGGTGGTGACTAGCTTTACCCATCACGAAGATCCAGGCCTTGTAATAAGGACCTGTCTCAGGTAGGAGGAGGAGCACAGTCATGGAGTTGGAAGAGGGGGTGTTTCTGTGGTTCATAACACCTGGATGTTCAAAGCCTGTGAAATCCTGCTGGCCGTTCAGTGCCTCTTTAACCAGGCCCCACAGAAATGACTGCTTTGCTTATCTTCTAACTGCAGGACTGGAGAGAAAAGTATATCCATGAAAACTACACAGCAGCTCTGAAAGGGAAGTTGGTAGAAATGGTAAGAAAACATTTTTCTTATCCATCAGACTGAGAGATTAGCATCACGATACTGTCATCATTGTCATCAATGCTTGTGTCATCATTGTTGTTATTCTTGGGAATAAGCAATTCAACATGACCTCGTAGTCTTTCAAACTCCTAGATGTGCATCTCCAGTTCCCTTAAGTGGAAGTGGAGCACATAAATGAGAAGACAAATTTCTATCCTCATTTATTTTCTATCCTTATTTACTTTCCACTTAAACTAAATCTACAGTCAGTTTAGTCCTGTTCCTTTTGCCTCAAGCATTCTTGTCCTTGTTTCTGCTATTCTCACTCATCTGCTTTGTGCAGCCCTGCCCAGATGTTTACTGGTTCCCCATTTTCACTGACACTGCCTGTGATGAGCTGGTGGAAGAAATGGAACATTATGGCCAGTGGTCCACAGGTGACAACACGGTAAGAAGCAAGAGCTTTTTCATTCCTGGGTCAGCCATGCAGATGGGGTGGCAGCAGTGCCTCCTGTAGGACAGCATTACATCCCACAGTTAAACCAGGGAACAATTGTGTTTCTGATTCTGTTCCTGTGATTTTGCCCCTGTTCTTAAATGTGAATTCATTTTTGAGTCTTCTTTGAAGCTGCAGCATTCAGCCTTTCTGATGGTAATACTGTCTTAGGGTTTAGTTATTGTTTGAAATGAGTTTTCCATCTCGGCGATTCTGATCTATAAACATCATATTTATTTGTAATTACCAGAAACAAGTGCTTTCCATTCCTGAAGTTCAAAGCTCCCATCCTTACGAGTATTTTCATGGTTCTATTTCAGGACAGCAGAATACAAGGAGGATATGAGAATGTCCCAACTATTGACATACACATGAACCAAATTGGCTTTGAAAGAGAATGGTATAAGTTTCTTCTGGACTATATTGCACCTATCACAGAGAAACTGTACCCCGGATACTATACCAAGGTACATATCTGAAACTCATGGTCAGTTCACCACCTCCCACAGCTGCAGGAATCCACAGTGCTGGAATCCTCTAATAATCTGCATGCTGTGTCCCACACAGAGGAACGGACCCAGGACTATGACACCAATATTTGCATCAGGAAATGCACCATTTCCCAGTGACCTTTTCCTGCCTTATTGTTGCCTTTCTCACTTAGCAGTGGGATGGAATTTAAACACGACACCCTGCTCTGCAGCCCTGTAAGAGATGTGCACTTTCTTCTTCCCTCCTGCAGACTCAGTTCGAGCTGGCCTTCGTGGTGCGCTATAAGCCTGACGAGCAGCCCTCGTTAATGCCCCATCATGATGCTTCCACCTTTACCATCAACATCGCGCTGAACCGAGTGGGGATAGACTACGAGGTGAGTGTTTGCCAGTGTTGGACACCTCCTGAGCAGCCCGGGCAGCTGGAGGCACTTTCCTGACCCGTGTCTGGCTTCTGCACGCTAAGGATTGCAGTTAACACCTGGGCTGGGGTAGAAAGATGAGCACGGGAGATTCCCCAAGCACCTTCTCACGTTTTCAGAAGGGCTACCAGGAGAAGACAGAGCCCCCTTCCTGAGGGGCTTTGACCAGGAGAAGACAGCGCCCCCTTCCTGAGGGGCTTTGCCCAAGCTCATGTGTCTCTGGGTTTGCTTCCACCAGGGAGGAGGCTGCCGGTTCCTGCGCTACAACTGCTCCATTCGAGCTCCACGGAAGGGCTGGACCCTGATGCACCCAGGGCGCCTGACCCACTACCACGAAGGTCTTCCAACCACCAAAGGGACCCGTTACATCGCCGTGTCCTTCCTCGACCCGTAGAGCCACGCTTCACAGGAGGGACCTTTCCCTGGTCCTGCTCACTGCTGACTCTGAGTGGAAGCAGGGAATGCTGCTGGGAGTTGTTAAGGCATGGATCAAAGCTATTTGATATTGATTTTTAATGGTATTTTAAGACTCCACTACTGGAAGTTCTCCGATACAGCAGATAATATCTAAGAATATTGCTGTAGAATTTGGAAGGAGATTTTGTGCCTTCATTTTTGATTGTGCTCCTTACCCGCTGTTTTCTTGGAAATGCCATTTACTTGAACCTCCACTCATTGGTTGGCTTTACAAAAATGCTTTCTTGGACTGGAAATCCAGCTTTTTGGAGGCAAGTCACAAGCTCACTCGCTCCAAGTAGCTGGAGATTTCATCCACATTTCATCCACAGTGTATATGGGACTGGACATTAGATATATTTCCTGGATACTGTTCCAAATATAAACCAGTCAGGGAGCTGGCTCCAGGAGTCATAACAGTTAAATGTCTTAACAGATGAAACTCAGTAATAGGAGCCTGAAGATCCTCTGATTCCTTACCTCTTTGCAGTCCTTGGAAGCATACACAAAGTTCAAAGCAGCAGTGGCATTATAGGTGCTTCTGGTTAGCTAAAGGAGGGTCTGCTGATGATACTTTACCTCTGGGATTAGACTGAAGAGATACAGGTGGTCTCCCTGTCTTCTGTTCCTGCAGCTGAAACACCCAGACTAATTCAGACCATGTTGGTATGGATAGGTAAAATCTGATAAAATGAAGGCTGAGGACAACTCAATTAAATCATCAGGAGGGCTTTACTGCTGAACTGTCCTTTCTGTCCCACCTTAAGATTGTCAAAAGGTCTGTCAACCCCTGCATAACAACCCAGCAGATATCCCCCCCCATTTAATGGCCTCATTGCAGTTCTCAGAGATAGTTACAATAACTTTATTTGCATCTAATTTGAACGGGCCATCTAAGAGCTGTTCTCTGGTACTTAGAAAAAATAATTATTCATTATTTCTGTTATTTGAGATTCAAAACCCAAACACTGCACTGCAGATACTGCTCCAGTGGGGTCAAGACTAAGAGAAATGAGTGGTTGGAAAGGGCTGAGAGACGGTGGCAAAAAAAAAAAAACCTGTCTAGACCCATGGTTGGAGAGGGAAGAGGGAGAAACCTTTTTTGCTGTTACCTGTGAGATAACCCACTCTACTATCAGACACCATTATGTTTTGGCTCTGCCAAATGAGCATGTCCCACAAGCAGTAAACTCATATTAGGATTGTCCTTGGGAGTTAAAATCTGTGTCTCCAGCTTGTACTGTCTGATTGTGAGGTGTAGAGCTCTTCATCTAGCATGGGTGTGGTTAATGCAGGCAGAATAGCTTTAGTTGTGCAGATTCTGGCAGGGATCTTTTTGGAGTTTGGATGGACCCGAGGAAGGTGACACAGACCTTTTTCTGCTGCTTTCCATGCGCTTTTTAGGTCTATTTGAAGGCTACACATTCATATGTGCCCAAGGGAGAAAAACCCAGGCAGGGACAAACAGTTTGAAAAGCAAACCGGTAATAAATCTTGTTAGATCAAATCTGGAGCTGTGTTACCAAATGAAAGGCCGTGCTAGGCCAGTCGTCGGGAAGGTGTATGTATTTATTCAGCAGGTGTTTTTTCACGTATGTTGTGCCACCCCTCCGCCCTGCGCGGCGGCGGGAGATACCGAGGCGTCTGTCACACGCGATGTACGGTTTCGGCCAGGAGAATCGCATTAAACCTTTATCCCACCACGACGTCGCCGGCGGGTTTACTTCGGGGGGA